AAAAATGAAAACACCCAGTCAGACACATTACATACTAAGGCTGCAAAGCTTTAATAGCAGAAAGACAAATAAGAATTTCTGCTAAATATTCTCCTCTGTGGGTAACAGCTCCCCATTTCATTATAAAACTTGTAAAGTTGTATTTAGAAAACCACAGCAAAAATAATTAAAAATTACATCACCATACAGAAACATATTCATTGAAAGTAATAGTTAAAACTCAGTCAGAAGACTAGGTATCAAAGGAAAAGATTAAAAAGAGAAATTATAAAATGTCAAAAGTGTCTCCTTTCTAAAGATACAGGCATCTCAAGGTACAACAGCACATACATCAGAAAAACGAAAGAGAGGCTCATAAGTGATCTGTGATCCTACAGGTCAAATACCATCTACAAATTACACATTATAACTTGAATAGCTCTTAAAATCAAGGTATACTACTGTACAAACTATATACTGTCTACGAGCTACTTATAAGCAGAGAAACTTTCAAATCAATTAACTTAAACATTATTTTCTTTCCCTCACCTCTTTATAAGATTTGTGTTGTCCTTATTGCATGACTTCAGCACAGGCCTTCCTAAACTCACTAATGAACGAAGATATCCATCCAAATAATTCCTGAGAGTCTAGGTCTTGCGCCTCCCCAAATTTTACCTGTAAATTGAAAGAAAAAAATATTTAACATTAGTATATCCAAGTAATCTAAATCATGTCCAGGATCTTAATGAAATTATAAAAGCAAGAGAAAAGCATAACAATAATAATAATAGTAATAACAACAACAACAATAACAACAACACTTAGAGCTGGCTAAAATCTCCAGCAAGCTGAGATCCAAAACATCCCAATCAAAAGCGGCCCAGGACTTGTCATTGAATTTCCTCCGTAACCTGGGTTTCTGTATAACCCAGTCTCTCTGGCTGGACTATGGATCTCCAGCTGAAGAGCAGAAAAATCAGTAAATCATGAAGCTTCCCAGCTCTGCAGTTCGATGAACCCATTCATAAAAGAAATCCATACATTAGGGAAACAGTTTGTATTCCATGGTGGGCATGGCAGCAGCACGTTCAAGCCAAAAAGTTTTCCTTTTCTGTCATTTTGCTTTGTAAACAAACAATAATACTCATAGGGAAGCAGACATTTTCAGGAGAAGAAGTAATTTATCAAAGAGCCACCTTTCCCTGCTCACTTCTTTCCTTCACCTGAAAAAGGTGAACAGATGGAAAGGTTTTGAAAAAGACGTGAACAATATTGGCATCACGTCGGCTCCGCTATAAAACAAGAAGCAAAAGGCAGTCATATTGCAAAGTTCAGTACTAGGGAGGATTCCTGCATTTACTAAAATTACTTCCACAAAGGTTCTCCAGTTCTAGGATAGGAAAGCATTTTTGATGTTAAACCTACTGCTAAGGTTTAATTCAAGAGGTTTGTCATCATTTTCAAAGATTCCTCCTGAACAGGATCCATGAGTTAACATAACACAGCCTGCAAGGGCTTTCCAATTGAGCAGAACAAATCTAGAGGACTTACTCCAAAGGCTTCATCAAAAAGTTTAAAAAGGCATCCTGTGTTGCTACAAGTTCTTATCTTGGCTGTAATTGAGAGCTACAGCTCTCCCAAGGCTGAACAGCAATGCAGTTGTATTTCAGTATTCCAGATTGCAACCAAAATATACAGAAAGGTTTGGACAGGTATCCGTCATTATCTAAACATGTTCACTTGGACATTATCTAACATGTTCTTAGGAGCAAACCCTCTGCCTGGAAATCAGAACCAGTAAAAGGAACCACTCACATATAATCCAATCCAAAAACTTTAACATTAACTGGTGACACCTGATTAATAGTTTTGCCTGTTGTGTTCCTAATTGCACCTCCTGGGTGCTCCAAGCCCTTGATCTTTGGCACGCCTCGCCACTCACCCATGGTGTACCATCAGTTAAACAGTAATGAGAGAGGCATTTCCTGGAGCTAATGACCATCTGTGAGAAGTTGATAGCCCACAGCTATACCACAGGCAGTTATCCCCAATTTATTGTTCGTTCCATAGAAGTGTCACATGCCAAGGTCATTATTGATTTTATAAGCAGAATATAAAATCATAAGGTAGGCCTGTGGATTTTTGTTTTATGTGTAACATGATTTCCATGGCTACCTACAACACATTTCCAGATCAGATATTCCCCCAGGTAAGCTGGACTATTCCTTCCTAGTTCTGTTGAGATGACAGCCTGGTCTTTGATCACCCATCCTATTTAATATTTGCTTTACATTTTTGCTGCTTTATAAATATGCAAAAAGATCTGCCTAGCAATAACATTATTCAAAAGAAAAAAATCCGTTCTAAGTGAGAGAAATATATCAAATGCCTCACTTTAGAGAATAATGAGGAAGGGAGACCATGAAGCAGCTGGGTTAAAACTTGAGGAAACTTCCAGCTACATGGAAAATGAAATCCCTTCAGATGCAAATAAGAGTCTCAGATGAGAGTTTCCAATACAAGGAAGGAAAGCAAAGAGCCTCACGCATATATCTATAGCACAGCATCACGTGTGTAATGCCTCCTGGCTGAACGTACACAGCTGGAGAGAAATTATGTCCGTGCAGAAGGATTACGACAGAGTATGGACATGCAGTGTCTGGATTAAGTAGTAGATGCAGAGATGGACTTTTTTTTTAGTAGATGCAGAGTATGGACTTTTCCCGTTTGTGAAAAGCTGCAAAAGACACAAAGAAACTCTTGCACATTCTTACAATATCACTTTTAGTAAAACACTACTAATTAAATTTCCTCTCTCAAACATCTCACTAATCTTCAGTGTCTGTTCAGCTAGGTCCCCAAACGTCTTCCTGGCTGCATCTTCTGTGTAACATTTGCCTATCTTAAAACCTATCTACTTCTAATCCCTCTCCCTCATAAAAAAAGGAAAAAAATAAAACCAACACCACTTAAAGCTATGTCCTAATCCCAGGACTGGGAAGTTATCCCAGTTTCAGAGAATAGCACTGCATTTCAGCAAATCTATCACTTTCCTTAAAACCTCCTACTGTGAATATTCTGCTGGAGAATACAGTTACCATAGCGGAGACCTCCTAAATTTCTATCACACTCCAAGAACATTGTACTAAACGAGTCATCTACATGCTATGTTGTTAAAAATTGCAGCGTGGAGCTTTATCATTCCTTCTGGTGTGACCTTCTGACTCAAAAAACGTTTTCTAGTGTATTGGACCTAGATGGGTTGCTTCTGTTCAGAGGAAAAAATGATTGAGAAAATTAGGTGCTTCTCTGATGCAAGAGTGGGTGAATATAATAGGAACAAACAAGAACAGACAGTTTCTTTATCAGAAATCTTCTACCCATGGAGCTTCCTTTCTGCTCTGCTCATTTTTAGATCTCTGCTACTACTAACATCTCTATCCCTGTCTCTCTCTCACTCAAGTAACAGTAGCTAAATCAATACCCGAGACTATAAGCTTGATACTAGGAAAAAAACCTCAGCACAAGTAACAGAATATTTGCAGCTACCTCCCAGCCACAGATATGATGGCTGGTAGGCAGCAGAAAAGCATTGTTATTTTCCATAACATTTTCTGAAACATGTTGAAAACATTCAACAGTTAAGCTCATTGAATTTATAAAGTTCATGAACATCTACTCTTCTTTTTTGATACTTGGGCCATAGACTCTCTAAAAAGTGGGATGTAAGTCCTCAAGGAAAATAAAAGCCAGGTTTTCATTCAAAATATTCCACCACTGTTAGATGTGATTTTTTTTTCCCGTTTCTGTGCACAGTATAACTATAAAGCATGTGAAGTATGAGAACTTCTGGCACTTCTTCCTCTTTTTTTTTTTTAAAAGAAGCGTAGATTTTATTTCATTGCATTTTAATACGATATGTACCAGTATGTTGCTATAAAGCTTCTTCATTTCATCACATCTTTTTGACAGCTGGGATAGATCCCCTTCATATTTCTGAATTAAATCCTGTAATAAAATACAACTTCTTAATTTGGTATAGGAGCATAATATTAAAGCAGAAATTAAATAGCAGTGAAAACAAGATAATTCAAGTCAAAATTTTCATGTCACAAAAATTTCAAATTTCACAAAAGATAAGCATACATCAAGTGCACATATTTCCTTGCAAGTATTAAGACATCAAAGACAAAAAAGAGAAACATCAGTGTTAGAGAATTTTTTACTGTATCATCCAATGACACTACCTAAATCTATTAAAAATGACAGAACTAGATAAACATCATAAGGTCCTAATTTCCACCCACATTTGGCATAGTCCAGCCTTTTTGCAGGTGAAATAAACATTCCTAGTTGCTAGTTCTTAAGTATCAGAAGAAATACTTAAGTATTAAGGCCTTAGAAACTTAACATTGAGACAAAATTTGTTAATCTTAGCTCCTTTGTAACGTATACATTTATATAAATGTATACACATATACAAGACAACCTAATACATATTGAAGAAGCATAGCATTGAGCTGTGCAAGGGAGAAGGAAACGTGGGTTTAGCAGATGCCAACACTACCCAGTGAAGCACAGCACGAAGATATCCAGGACAGCGGAGATGAACACGTCCACACCACGGCAGTGGGGAACGCCCTCACTGGAAGTAGCCTTGTTCATAACTAGGCACCACAGCGCTCTTGAGAGTTAATTAGCTTCTTTACCCTGGAGATAATAAGCCCTGTGTTTGGCTCTGCTGACTCCTGGCCAGAACTGGGCTCCCTCCAGCCTGCTCAGGTGCATCTCCATTGTGTCCTCCAGTTCATCTCGTTCTGCCACTAGTATGGGCAGAATCATCTTATATCAAACTATACTCACAGCTCAGGCATGCCCTTGGGTGATGTTTCTCTATGCTATTTTTTTTCCCTTCTGTCCAAGGGCAGAGGAAGCTATTACAAACTCCTATATGCTCTAAAATTGCTATTATTCCAAAGTGCTTATCTTGGGCAACAGTGGGGCTACCTGTTCCTCACCTGATCCAGCCTATTTGCCTGTGAAGCAAAAGCAGGAGACACAGAAACTCTGAAAAGCCCTTCCCCTGCTGCAGTTTAGGGTATGAGACATCATCAGAAAGGAATAAAAGACCACTTTCTCTCAAATACTCCTGAAACTCCTTGTCAGAGCAGGACTCATAATAAACTAAGCAGATTACTCATCTTTTACCTCCAGCCCACAATACAGTTGTGATAATGTTACCTTTAGTTCCTTCCAGAACTGTGACTCCTGGGGTGTTGCCTTGATCGTCTTGGGTTTAATAAGCCGCTTGCACTCAATAACATTTTCCAATTCTTTTTTTAAAACTAACAAAAGAGAAAGAAAATGAGAAATTTCACTAGCATGCAGTTGTGTCCAAAGGACAGCAAATGTCTAATTTAGGACACAGAAAATTTAGGAGAATATGGGTCTATAATATGTTCATCTAGGAATATTAACTTTCCGTTTTGAAATAGAAATTCTAAAAAAGGCATAGGTCTTATGGAGAAAAGTAGTCTGTGATCACTTTACAAACAACTGCAGAATAATAAAGAGGTCGATAGTATGGTTATGCAGCAGCAATAAATTTGACCTTTCCTGGCTTTGAACGTTGGGATGAAAATAACATTCTTCAAACCTACGTTTTTATGTAGAAAGTTCAGGGTTCCTTTAAAGATAAAAGAACAGAAATGCTACTCTATGTAACAGTAAAAAAAATCTTGTCAGTTGGCACTAAGCACTACATCAAACTGCTACTGTGGGACTTCTCATGGTGTGAAATAGGGAGAGAAGAGGATACAGCCTTGGAGCCGGGGGCTCAGTCCTGAACTGACCCAGGCTGCAGTTCAGCATCTTCCTTCCCTTCTGTTTGTGCAATACTTGCAGCAGACAAGCCCCAGGATGTGCCTTGACCTACATA